CATGCATTATATTCGTAAAGCCATTTTCCACTACTTCGCCCAGTGCAAGAGGCTTTACCTTCCCGGTGCATGATCCTCCAGTGTTCCAAGCTCCACCCTCGTAATGGTCAGGTGAATAAGAACGCACAATGGCGATCCCCGTATAATTCGGATGTCTAGCAACAGCAGTGAGAATTGTCTCGACAGATATTCCAAATGCTTCAATGTTGTTAACCTTCATAGGCCTTGATTTGTCCGGCCACCATAACTGCCCTCCCACAATCTCGTTGTTTAAGATATAGACCGACTGCTTGGCAAACCAATGGCCGGAAGAGAAAACAATCACATCAAACTGTGGGATGAGATCCATGAATTTGTCATCAGGGGCATCAAGGTGGAGCTTGGCCACACCCTCTGGAGCAAAATGAAATGCCTCAGATGTTTGCTTCACAAGCCACGACGACCAAATCCGGACAACAAACATAGATGTCGACTTGAAATAATAACGTTGCATTCTCTTGTTCCCACGGTTTTTTGGAACTTCTACCTGCATACACCACACAAAGATGCAAGCACTGCTAGAGTTACTTAAAACAGCATTATCTGCAAAAAAGGATGGAGATGCAATTTCATACAGCTGCTTTGAAACGCAATCGCTAAAAACGAACTCCACAAAACTAATTCCACATGCATTTAGAGACGTATAATACTAGCAGGGTTGATGAATCCAGCGTTGCGAAAATTCCATCTACTATAAGAAAAAAACATTTAATTCAAGGTAACTAGATCATAAAAAATTTAGACAATTACCTGCCAGAGCATGCACAACAATGACTCCATATGGTTTCGAGCAACCGAATCACCAATGAAAGCTATTGTTTTCCCCCTCATCAACTCTAGAAATTTCCTGGCATCAAAACGTGGCAGGTCACACTGAGAGGGCTTCCATCGCCAATTCTCATACTGCTTGTCAGGTCTCCCATTTCCCTGGCAATTTTGCATCTGTGTCAAGACAGGGCATGTATTGTTTGTATATACCGGTCCTGCTGAATCATAAATCCAACTTCCACTGTATAGATCACAGCCTGCATAATACGAACAGAAGTAAGTCAAATTCAAAGAAAAAAGTACTTGAAAATGTTATAGCAACAAGTCAAATTTCAGAAGTACAAAAGGCTAAATTATACATAAGTTCAATCAGAGTACAAAAGGCTAAAGAGTATAGCAAAATGTTAAATTTCAGCAAACATGAAAACATAACGGAACAACATGAAAGCATAACGGAACAACATGAAAGCTACCTGAATCAACGGAAACACCACTGGTTGCATTGTTGGGCAACTGAGAAGAAGCTGATGTAGTATCATTGGGCTCGAGTGCAGGTGCTGATATATCCTTCATCTCCTTTGTTTGCGAAACTATTGATGGATCACTTGAAGTCGAGGACAGTTGTGGATTGGACTCGTCTGACAAATTCTTATCAGTTTTAATCATACCGTCATCAATTGATGAAGTGGTTGAAACTGCAGGCTCTGATGGACCAGTTGAGTTTACTGATCCAACATTTTCATTATCTGATGAACCGGATGAATTCTTTGCCACATCTGGCAGATCTTTGATCTCTCTAGTTTCTGAAACAACCAATGAACCATCTGAACTCGAGGGTGCTTGTGAATTCGACTCGGTAAGAATATTCTGATTAACAACTTTTGTTTGTGGATCCACTGAACTTTTCGGAACTTTTGAATTAGACTCCGATACCATATTCTTATCGACACTATCTACATTGTTTGGAAGGGGAGCATCGTGGTTAGTGGGATTCCCTATAGAGGTAGAATAATCCAACTTCTGCATACTATCAACACCATAGAAATACCAGCTAACCGTTGAACCAATCGGGTAAGTCACTAAAACCCAGGAAGCAAAAAGTAAGAACAAAGCCAATGCCACCCCGGAAACTACCATCCACGAAAGAGCTTTCGGGTAGGAAGTCATCGAAATCGAACCTTTGGACGAAGCCCAAGTCAATGAAGTCATCGCTTTCCAAATCAAGCAATTCGTGTGAAATAAACTATCTAGCCTAAATTAAACTACCAATGGAAAACCCCAAAAGCATGCGTTCAAATGGCTAAAGAAAAAACCCAACTCATCATTTTCTTTCCAAATTAGGAAAACCCCAACTTTGAGCTCAACCTCCTCCAGCAAACCCTGAAAACATACGCAACAACAACTCCAGAAATTACATGTAATTCAAGCAACACAATGTTAAAAATGGAAACTTTATAATCATGCTTAATGATAATCACGTTTATAAGTAAATTTAATTACTAAAAATGGACAAACAACAATGGCTTCCAAAAGGGTATGAAGATCTAAAGAAAATATACCTTGATCAACGCTACACGCAATAGAAGATCTTGAAGCACTTAAAAGGAAACAACAAATGGAAGCATGAAGATTTGTTTACAGGGGAATTGGATTCCTGGGTAAGTGAAAAGAATGGGAAACTTGGATTCCCGACCTGGAAAGTTGAATGCTTTATGTACGGAACATGGAATCAGATCAATGGCGGAGAGCTGGTAGAAATGGAAGTAGTGGATGAAGATCTGGAAATAGGGGGCTTGGATTTAAAGAATCAAGATGAAAGATGAAAGATTTAGATGGGAAAATTATAATCTTGTTTTTATTTTTTATTTTTTATTTTTGGAAACTATTATAATATTGTGTTTTTTTGGCAAAACTATTATAATCTTGTTTATTTGAGTGATATGCGGCAGATTGAATTAGACGATTCGTCTTCTTGGAATATGTTTGGGCTGTATGGTTTGGGCCGTATAGATTTTTTTTTGTCAAATTTCTAACCGATTTTATTATTATAATTATGTACTTAACCGTGTTCTATGTATACTAAAAAATCACTCCGCATCGACTTACAATATAATTATGGGCCATGCTTGACATTTTGTGACGATCAATTTGTTGTAAGCGTCAAATTTAGAAACACTACTTTCTTGGGGAAAATATAAACAATACTAAATATCGACTTGTAAGAAATTTGTTGAATACTTAGATGAATGCAGATTATATGTTTGTTTCTAGTATTTTTATTATCTTCTAATACTTTATAATTTATATATCATTCTATTTTGTAATTAATGTATTCCAATGCTTAAAAACAATAAATTTACTTAAATCCGCCTAATCCCTCTATGCCCCTAGTTAAGCTCCGCCTAGTCGTCTAAGCACTAAGCTTTAGTCTACCAACCGACTAACGTCTAGCATCATTTAGATACTTGATAACAAAACGACATTTTTATTAAGAAGTTAACAGAAAATAAAAAAAACTTTTGATTTATTGGTTTTGAAGGAATTAATACATAATTGGGCCTGTTGTTGGGCAGCCGAATACAGCAAACCGACAACAAAATAACAACACTTGACAACCTTGGGCTCTGCCGTTTCAAATATGTCCAATATTAAGACATTAATTCCAACAAAAGATTTTCCTGAAAGCAAAATTTGGGGCAAATGCAAATGCAAATGCAATACACAAATTATATTATAGTTTAAATTGCCAAGATGCTTTTGTACTAATTTTTTTTAATCACGATGCACTAATTTTTTTTTAAATAATTAGTATTTAAAAATTATATTATAGTTTGTGCAATACTAATATAATTTGTGAGTAGTGTATTGCATCTTGGCAACTAAAAAAAATTATATTATAGTTTAAATAATTAGTATTGCACTAAATTTTTTTAATAACGATGCACAACTCACAAATTATATTATAGTTTAAATTGCCAAAATGCTTTTGTTATGCACATGACTCAATATACTTTCATAACATTGTTGCGAAATACACTTTTTTTAATCACACTTGTGGCAGAAAAATTGTCACATTTCGGCCCGGAACCCCACCACATCCCGGGCTCGACTCCACCGTAGCATGATATTGTCTGCTTTGGACCCCAACCACGCCCTCATGGTTTTATTTTTGAGAACTCACATGAGAACTTTACAGTGGATCACCCATCATGGGAATGCTCTCGCACGAACTCACTTAACTTCGGAGTTCCGATAGAACCCGAAGCTAGTGAGCCCCTAAAAGGCCTCGTACTAGGAAGAGATGAGAATATACATATAAAACTTACAGGATCCACTCTCCTGGACGATGTGGGATGCTACAAAAATTATAGCTCATTTGAAGAAGAATAAAAGTGCAATTGAGGGTAGTTTTATTCACACCTCACAAATTTATCAAGCCACCCCATTTTAAAAAAAAATCCTACAAAATTCTAATTTTATCGAATTTAAAATTTGTCATGCCTTTAAAATTTAAATGTTAAAGGTTGAACCAAAGTCACACGTAACTCATACAAAACTGCTGACTCTCCCCCCTTCTCCACCTCAACGGTCCATTAGTACTGTTTGGTAAGTGGGACGGGACAAAACGGAGTGGGACGAGGCGTTCCGTCCTACGTTTGGTGCGCCTAAAACGGGTGGAACGCGCTGTTCCACCAGAAGAATTTTAGGTGAATTTTCGTTCCGCTTCACCCATGGAACAACTCGTTCCACGTCCGTGGAACACAAAATTATAACATCTCTGTCTCCTTCTTCCTTCTTGTTTCGGTCCGAGAGCATCTTTACTCCCTCTCCATTCCGTCCCATCTTATCCCATCCCGTCCCGTCTCATTCCATTCCTTGGTACCGTTTGGTACGCAGACGGAACGGGACGGGATGGAACAGAAGGGGACGGAACGGGACGGAACAGGACGGAACGGATGATGTAAATATTGAAAAAGATAGGGAGAAATTTTGTCATAAAATGTTATAAATTTGTGTTCCACGAATGTGGAACGGGTCGTTCCAGGGGAAGAGGTGGAACGAAAAATCAGCCAAATTTCGTCCCATGAACAACCCGTTCTACAGTTTTCAGACGCACCAAACGTGGGACGTAACAGCTCGCCTCGTCCCGTCCCACGTACCAAACGGTACCTCTGCTCCCGTCTGCACACCAAACGATCCCTTAGGATCCAACATCCTCCCGCCAAACACCGAATTATCCCTAAAGGTTTAAGCTTTCACTCTCGCTCTCACCCCACACCCTCCCTTAAACCCTCATCTCCGTCCACACCCCATTTCGTCGTCGTTTCTCAGGAATCTCACAGTCAGAGTCTTCTGCTACCGAATTCTAAAATCCTAGGCTTCCCACGCATCAGCGGAGATGAGCGTCGCGGCCTACAAGATGATGCACTGGCGGACGGGCATCGAGAACTGCGCCTCGGAATTCATCTCCCACTCACTTGCCGGCTTCGTGTCTCGAATGCATCCGATTCAGACCGACGATATGGAGTCCAACTGGCCGCCCACCCGCCGAGAAATCGGCCCCATTCCGGACCTCGTCGTCACCGCCGGAAACGTCCTCGAAGTGTACGTTGTCAGACTTCAGGAGGAAGATGGCGCCAGAGGCTCTAGGGCTTCCGGAGAACCCAAGCGTGGTGGTCTCATGGATGGCGTCTCTGGGGCTTCCCTCGAACTCGTTTGCCATTACAGGTCCATTGCCCCAGTTAAACCCCTCTTTCGATTTTCATGGCGTTTGGCCTGGAGTTTAGCTCGAATTCGCTAAATTTGTCTGTCGTAATACTGTTTTTGAATTAATTACTGATGGTTTCTATTCAAATTTTTGTTTGCATGCAGTTGGATTGCTGAATGCACGGTAATGTGTAACGGTGGCGGTATTATCTGGCAGAGGCGGCGATGGTTATAGAAGAAGAGATTCTATTGTCTTAACCATGGAAGAAAAAATCGATAATATCGCCGATATTATCGGTTTTTTGCTTTACCGATATTTTAATAGGTATCCGAGGAATTTTCGTCAAAATATTGTGATATTTTAGATAATATCGCGATATTTTTGGTTTCTTGACAGTCAGTCACAACCTCGCCGGAGAATCAGAATAACTCTGAGCAAGAACGAAACCTGCAACCAAACGGAACAAAATCATCACTATCTTTCAACAAAAATCACCACTTTATACCAAAATCAGTGACAAAATTACACTAATCCGAGAAGCAAGGGCTTGAATTCGAGCAAGATCTGGAAGAAAACAGTAGAAGCTGAGAGATCGAGTACCTCACCGGCAGTTACAGTGATAAAGATCATCATCTTTGGAAGGCCGCGGATCGGACGGAGCTCAGAGATCAATGAGCAAGCATTTCACAGATCGTATTCGATCAGCGGCTGAAAGAGAGGAGAGAGAGAGAGAGCAGAGGGAGACGCGGATGAGGAGGATCGCGCCGATGGGGACGACGGAGGAGAGGTAGAGGTCGCGGCCCGCGGGACATGGTGACGGGCTCGACGAGGAGGAAGGCGAGGGAGGAGCAGAGGGAAAGGAAGTAGAGGGCGCCGATGAGGATGACCGATTTGAGGTAGAGCCACGGGGTGCGAAAAGGGGTATGTATGTTGCTTGGCTCTTGGTTGAAAAGGGGTGCGAAACTGAGAAACAATGGAGAGATTGAAAGGGATGGTCTGCTACGGAGAGATAGAGCCTTTTGAGGCTCTGGGCTCGAGGAAAGGGCAAAATATGTAGCAGCTGCTAGGGTTTTTCAATTCAAACAGGAAGCTGTTGCATCAGCATATATTGTAGTTGTTGCTGCACTTTGACACAAGTGTGGACTTGGACGTGTTGGGCCGTGTTTCTCTTCAATAGCACCAGGTCTTCAGTTCGAATCCAGGTGATCTTTGTCCTTTTTCTTCTTTTCTTTTTGTTTTATTATTTGTTTATTTTAATTTCTTTGTTTTCTTTTCTTTTTTCCTTTTCTTCTAGTTTATTTATTTTAGGCTTTTGTTTTATCTTTTACAGTTTTTATTTTTGTTCTTCTTCTTTTCTTTTTGTTTTATTATTTGTTTATTTTAATTTCTTTGTTTTCTTTTCTATTTTCCTTTTCTTCTAGTTTATTTATTTTAGGCTTTTGTTTTATCTTTTACAGTTTTTATTTTTGTTCTTCAATCTTTGTTTATTTTTACACACCTTGAGGACAAGGTGTGCAATAAGTTTGGGGGTGGGAAAGTAAAATTTTAGGATTTTAATTTTTTAGGCTTTTGTGTAAAATATTGTACTAATTCATTATATATAAATGATTATGGTGTGTTTAGACTTCTTTCATTAATTACTACATATTTTCTACACTCATAATGTTTGTCAGCTCGCTATATAATTAACTTGATATTGTTAAATCCATCATGCAATGCATTTCCTTCCAATTTTTTGTGATAAACTAATAGATAATTGACTAAATAAACATCCTGCAAAGTTTCAATAAAAATTTCCAAGTTTTTCTTACAATTTCCGTGGTTTCCATGTAATTTTTATCGATATCGATATTATCCCGATATTTCCATCGATATTTCCGTGTTTTCGGACTACCGATATTTCCGATATTACCGATATTTTCTTCCTTGGTCTTAACCTTTGAAGATGCAAAAATCTCAGTTCTTGAGTTTGATGATTCAATTCATGGACTCCGTACTAGGTGTGGTAATAAAGATTAATTATTAGTCTTAACAAGAACTTATCAATGTGATTAGTGCGTACGCACCTCAAGTAGGGTTGGATACGAGTTCGAAGGAGAAATTTTGGGAAGACCTTGGAGACTTGGTGCAAGGAATTGCTCAGACGGAGAAGTTATTTATAGGAGGAGATTTAAATGGACACGTGGGCAGGGAGACAGGCAACTATGGAGGTTTTCATGGTGGCCATGGTTTTGGGGAGAGAAACGAGGATGGGGAAGCTATCTTGGATTTGGCAATGGCATATGATCTCTTCTTAGCCAATACCTTCTTTAAGAAGAGAGAAGAACATGTGATCACCTACAAGAGTGGGTCGTCAAAAACACAAATAGATTTTCTTCTAATGAGGAAAGGGGATCGTATAACTTGTAAGGATTGCAAAGTTATACCAGGAGAGAGCGTGGCTAATCAACATCGCTTGTTGGTGATGGATGTACATATCAAAAGAGTGAGAAAAAAGAACAAGACTTGGAAGTGCCCAAGGACTAGATGGTGGAATCTAAAAGAAGAAAAACAAGCTATTTTCAAAGAGAAAGTAATCACCCAGTGTGTGTGGAATAGAGAGGGGGAAGCTAACCAAATGTGGGATTCCATGGCTAGTTGTATCCGAAAAGTAGCAAAAGAGGTATTAGGAGAGTCCAAGGGCTTTGCCCCACACCAAAAGGAATCTTGGTGGTGGAATGAGGAGGTACAAACAAAGGTGAAGGCTAAGAAGGAATGTTGTAAAGCCTTATACAAGGATAGGACCGATGAAAATGGTGAAAGGTATAGAAATGCGAAGCAAGAGGCGAAGAAAGCTGTGAGAGAAGCTAAGTTAGCGGCTTATGACGATATGTATAAGCGACTAGATACCAAAGAAGGAGAGTTGGATATCTATAAACTAGCTAGAGAAAGGGAAAAGAAGACAAGGGACCTAAACCAAGTGAGGTGCATCAAGGATGAGGATGGAAAAGTTCTTGCTACAGAGAACGCGGTTAAAGACAGATGGAAATGTTATTTTTATAATCTTTTCAATGAAGGACATGAAAGAAGTGCTTCTTTAGGGGAGTTGAGTAACTCAGAAGAGTGTAGAAACTACTCTTTTTATCGTAGAATTCGGAAGGAAGAAGTGGTTGTAGCTTTGAAGAAGATGAAGCATAGAAAAGCAGTAGGCCCAGACGATATACCAATCGAAGTGTGGAAAGTTTTGGGAGAGACAGGTATAACATGGCTCACTGACAATTTCAATAGGATTCTGAAAACAAAGAAGATGCCAAATGAGTGGCGAACGAGCACTTTGGTGCCTATCTACAAGATTAAGGGCGATGTACAAAATTGCATGAACTATAGGGGTATTAAGCTAATGAGTCATACAATGAAGCTCTGGGAGAGAGTCATTGAGCATAGATTGAGGCAAGAGACACAGGTTTCGGACAACCAATTCGGGTTCATGCCAGGGCGCTCAACCATGGAGGCAATCTATCTCTTACGAAGATTGATGGAAAGATATAGAGATGGGAAAAAGGATTTACACATGGTCTTTATAGATTTGGAAAAAGCGTATGATAGGGTCCCAAGAGACATTCTTTGGAGGATTTTAGAGAAGAAAGGAGTACGAGTAGCATATATCCAAGCTATACAGGATATGTATGAAAGAGCAAAGACTGCCGTAAGAACTCATGAAGGACAAACCGAAAGCTTTCCCATAACTGTAGGATTACATCAAGGCTCATCCTTAAGTCCTTACCTTTTTGCGTTGGTAATGGATGAGTTAACAGGACATATTCAAGATGATATTCCTTGGTGTATGCTTTTCGCAGACGATATAGTGTTGATAGATGAAACTCAGGAAGGGGTAAATGCAAAGCTTAACCTTTGGAGAGAAGTGTTGGAATCTAAAGGTCTTCGCCTAAGCCGATCAAAGACAGAATATATGGAGTGCAAGTTCAGTGCAAATGGAGGCCAAAACGAGTTAGGGGTGAGGATCGGAGATCAAGAAATACCAAAGAGCGACCGTTTTCGTTACCTAGGATCTATCTTGCAAAAGAACGGAGAATTAGATGGAGATCTCAACCATAGAATACAAGCTGGATGGATGAAGTGGAAGAGTGCATCCGGCGTTTTGTGTGACCGCCGTATGCCACTGAAGCTCAAGGGAAAATTTTATAGGACGGCAATAAGGCCGGCGATGCTGTATGGCACAGAATGTTGGGCGGTGAAGCATCAACACGTACACAAAATGGGTGTAGCGGAGATGAGGATGCTTCGTTGGATGTGTGGGCACACGAGAAAGGATAAGATTAGGAATGAGGATATCCGGGGTAAAGTAGGAGTAGCCGAAATTGAAGGAAAGATGAGAGAAAATCGGTTACGGTGGTTTGGACATGTGCAAAGAAGGCCTACTGACGCTCCGATTAGAAGATGCGACTATGGGACAGAGGTTCAGGGCCGAAGGGGTAGAGGAAGACCTAGGAAAACTTTGGAAGAGACCCTAAGAAAAGACTTAGAGTACTTGGATCTAACGGAGGACATGACACAGGACAGAACACAATGGCGTTCTAAGATTCATATAGCCGATCCCACTCAGTGACTTGGATTTTCCAAGTCTCCAACCGAGAAGTTTTCCTCACTCGGGAAATTAAGGGAACACTACCTCAACCTACATGCTCCACTCACAAAGCTTCAACATACAAGCTTCAACAAAAGAAAATTCAAAGAACTTAGCGAAGAAGGCTTTGGTGTATTTAACACAATACGTTGAAATGAAGGAAAGCTTATTTATTGATATCCCCGATAAGTTACAAATATGTACATATACTTGAGTCAAAATAAACAAACAAGAGGGAGCCTTCACAAAGGTTGCTTAGGAGAAGTCTCAGCAGTCGGTAGAGCCCCAGAAAGAGAAGGCACCGGAGGGGGATCATTCGGAGCCTCAGTACTGGACAGAACCCTAGAAGGAGGAGGCATCAGAGGTTGATCATTTGGAGCTTCATTACGCGGTACAGCCCCAGAAGACGAAGGCAATAAATGCCTTTGGAACAAACCCACAAATCTCTGATGATCAAGTAAAACCTGACCATCAGATTCCTTCATCTGGTCAAGCTTCCTCTTCATGTTTGTAGCATAGTCATGTGCGAGCCGGTGCAACTGTTTATTCTCATGCTTGAGCCCTCTAATCTCCTGTTTGAGACTCATCACTTCAGCCGCCAATGATTCAACTTGGCGGGTTCGAGCAAATAGGCGTTGGGCCATATTAGACACAGAACCTGCACACTGAACACTGAGAGCCAGAGAATCCTTAACAGCCAACTCATCAGACCGTTTGGAAAGTAGTCTGTTATCTTTGGGAGTGAGAAGGTTCCTGGCCACTACCGCAGCGGTCATATCATTCTTCATCACGGAATCCCCAACGGTAAGAGGACCAGTAGGGGAGACGAAGGATGGGCGCCATATGTTGTCTGGAGAAGGCGGGGCTGCCTCTTCAACAAGGTTCAAGTCAAAACGACGGTCGGAGGGGCCAGACATTTTCAAAGGTGTTGAAGAGAGAAGAGGTCGGACAAATCAAGATCTTAGAAGTGCAAGAATGGAGCTTCTACTGGTGGATATTCAAGTGTGCTTTGGAACTTAATGTCAGCCCTATAAAAATCTGCACTCGACGAAGCTTCAGAAATCGAAGAGGCGCCTGCTCAGAAATCGAAGAGGCGTTTGCTTTCTCAAAAGCTGGGCTGCTCAGAGACCACGAGGGTCGATCTCAGAAATCGAAGAGGCGTTTGCTTTCTCAAAAGCTGGGCTGCTCAAAGACCACGAAGGCCGATCTCAGAAATCGAAGAGGCTTGCTTTCTCAAAAGCTGGGCTGCTCAGAGACCACGAGGGCCGATCTCAGAAATCGAAGAGGCACCTACTTTTCCAGCCTTGTCAGCACCTGTCACACGCACACTCAGCTTTGCGGAAATTATGGGCATTCTGTCGAAGATTTCTGGCGAAGTAGAAAGCACATGAATCGTACTGTTCAATCACCCACTTCCCACACGCAACAGTAGCTCATGGGTACCACAGATAACTTTGCCAAAGTTCTCTGACAAAGTTGAGACACGTGAAGCTTGCAGCTCCCACTACATCGCTCTGACCAAGAAGGGTAAAAGAATAGCAAAGAAACAACACTAACAAAGTTTAGACACATAAATTTTGAAGGTCTAGCTACCATATTATTACCCACAAGGGTAAAGGAACAGTACCACTGCTGGATAATTGGAAAGTCCCGGTGTGTCAACTCAAGGTCTAGCAAACATGCCCAACCTTTACTCACATTCGAGAAAACACTCCCAACAAGATTGCTTGCTCCAAAATCGAAGAGGCACCGCCCTCCGAATCTCGAGAGCCAGACTCCCAACATGATTACTTTCTCAAAAATCGAAGAGAGGGTAAAGGAACAGTACCACTGCTGGATAATTGGAAAGTCCCTGTGTGTCAACCTCTGTGCTTCGTGGCAAGGTAGACTAGCAAACATGCCCAACCTTTACTCACATTCGAGAAAACACTCCCAACAAGATTGCTTGCTCCAAAATCGAAGAGGCACCGCCCTCCGAATCTCGAGAGCCAGACTCCCAACATGATTACTTTCTCAAAAATCGAAGAGACACCGCTCTCCGAATCTCGAGAGCCAGAACCCCAGCAAGATTGCTTTCTCAAAAATCGAAGAGGCATCGTTCTCCGAATCTCGAGAGCCAGATCCCCGACAGGATTGCTTGTTCGAAAACCGAAGAGGCACCACTTTCCCAACTTCAAGAGCTGGATCTCCTTGGATAAAGCTTGTCTGTAATCTTCACACGCAACATCAGCTTTCCAGATACCACAGACCACACTTTTTCAAAGTGCTCTGACAGAGTTAAAACATGTGAAGCTGGCAGCTCCCACTACCGTGCTATGACCAAGCAGGGTAAAGGAATAGCATTATTACTTGATGTTAGGGAGACTCCTATATATGTCGACCTCCATCCCCAACGGACAGGCAGACCTGCAAAAATGCTCAACCCTTCCTCTTATCTGAGAGGGCACTCCCAACGAAGCCTTTCGAAATATTCAGCTTTCTTTCCCCCGATAATACCTCTGTAAACAAGCTATACTAGAGCAAGAATATCTCATATCATCAGGGTTAAAAGCAAGAGTATCCCATATCATGCTTTTTCCCTGTCTTTTCCTTTGGCCTTGTTCTTACCTGCAAGACAAGGAGAAAGAGAGCAATCAGTCAGCACTTGGAATCAAGCTTCCAGCCAGGAACTGACTGCCTGGAACCCCTTACCTGATTACTTACCTGGCATTGCTCTCGAGTACTCATCTTCAACATCTTATGCTTCCAGGGAAGATACCGCATCTGCCTGAGGAACAGATAGGGCAAGTGAGAAGGATACAAGGAAGCATGTGGAGACAAGCGTAACAGCACACGTGCCGATACATCCACTACTCTGTCAAAAGCAAAAGTATCCCATATCAGCAGGGTCGAACGTACTCTAGATTTGATGGACTTGTTTTTGACCCTCAAATTCTTCAGTCGGCCTTATACTCTGGAGGAAACCAGAAAACCCTCCAGCCCAGTTCAAGAATAAGCCTGTGGAAAGTTACTTCTTCAAAAGCAAAAGTATCCCATATCATCTCTTCTCATTTTTCTTCTCTTTATCCTTCATGCTGCCTGCAAGATAGGGAGAATGTGAACAATCAGCCGGAGCTCTGATTGCTTACCTTGTCTGTCACCTCTTTCAGCAGATCCCCTAGCTCGGCGACTTGGGGGACTCCTACTACATGGTTTGTATCGCGCTTGACCAAGCCTGAAACTACAAGTAAGCTTCAAGTGAAATTGATACATTACCTTGTGCATCTCCACCAGTTACAGATACCACCCTGGATGGAGGAAGAGTACTTCCAGAGAAGATGCCACATCTACCTATGAGACAGATAAGGCAAGTCAAGACGATACCACACTCCGGTACTTAGAAGTTTCGTGGTTACGAGATCATTCTCCCACAATATTTCCTAATGTCATTTGTACTAAATCATTCACTTGTACTCACTAAAGGAGAGCTTGAACCTATGTACTTGTGTAAACCCTTCACAATTAATGAGAACTCCTCTATTCCGTGGACGTAGCCAATCTGGGTGAACCACGTACATCTTGTGTTTGCTTTCCTATCTCTATCCATTTATATACTTATCCACACTAATGACCGGAGCAATCTAGCGAAGATCACAAAAAGTGACCGTTTTCGCTACCTAGGATCTATCTTGCAAGAGAACGGAGAATTAGATGGAGATCTCAACCATAGAATACAAGCTGGATGGATGAAGTGTAAGAGTGCATCCGGCGTGTTGTGTGACCGTCGTAGGCCACTGAAGCTCAAGGGAAAATTTTATAGGACGGCAATAAGGCCAGCGATGTTGTATGGCACAGAATGTTGGGCGGTGAAGCATCAACACGTACACAAAATGGGTGTAGCGGAGATGAGGATGCTTCGTGGGATGTATGGGCACACGAGAAAGGATAAGATTGGAGAATGAGGATATCCGAGGTAAAGTAGGAGTAGCCAAAATTGAAGGAAATATGAGAGAAAATCGGTTCCGGTGGTTTGGACATGTGCAAAGAAGGCCTACTGACGCTCCGGTTCGAAAATGTGACTACGGGACAGAGGTTCAGGGCCGAAGGGGTAGAGGAAGACCTAGGAAAACTTTGGAATAGACCCTAGGAAAAGACTTGAGTACTTGGATCTAACGGAGGACATGACACAAAACCGAGCGCAATGGCGTTTTAGGATTCATATAGCCGACCCCACTTAGTGGGAAAAGGCTTTGTTGTTGTTGTTGTTGTTGTTGTATTAGTCTTGCTGTTTCAGTTGATGTCATATCATTTGAAGTTTCCTTTAAGTCCAAATCAGAACACACTTGAATGTTTTTTTTGGAAGTGTTGTAGTGTTGGAGTCACGAATGTTGAATCCCGAGTAAGAATTTAATTGTGAATTTGCTAATAAGGGAATACTCCATCTCCTCTAGCAGGCTTCTATACATCAACTGAATTTTACAGTTTTACTTGAAGTTGGTTGTGTAATTTAGTGATTGAAGAGCCTTAAAGTCTCTAATCTGTATTCTTTCTCGTTATTAACTAGTTATATATTTTCCATAGTTTGCTTAATCGTGTTATTACCTGAGTTTGGTTATGTATATGTTTCCAAAGTTTGTTTAACTGTGTTGCAAGGTGATATTAATTCATTGACGTTGACCTTTTTCCCAGCTCCATGCACTGTTTTGAGGGCCCAGAGTGGCTTCATTTGAGAAGAGGCAGAGAGTCATTTGCAAGAGGCCCATTGGTTAAGGTTGATCCCCAAGGCAGGTTCGGAGGCGTTCTTGTTTATGGCTTTCAAATGATAATTCTTAAAGCTGCGGAGGTCTCTTTTGCCTCCTCCACTTTGCATTTTGATCATCGTAGTGGTACTAGCAGTCTCATGTTGAAAAATTATGGCTTAATAAGTTAGTTTCGATTCCTGATATATTTACAATAGGATTTGGAGGGGAAAAGGAAAAACTGTTGGTTTAGCGACAGTTCTAAGCATTGGCTCCTATGCCCTTATTAGGAGCATACTCAAATTGGTCTACGATATTGTGTCAACAAATTATTGGCTCTCATATTCAACAATGTGTTGCTTAGTATTGGTCACTGCGTCTTAGGCTAAAAAGGTCGTACCCAGTGCACAAGGCTCCCGCTTTACGCAGGGTCACTGCGTCTTAGGCTAAAAAGGTAAAATTAAAGAAGTTAATTCTCTATTCCTGCTTTTTAAATTGTACGATTTGGAAGGGAAAAAGTGAAACCTTGTTGCCTTAGTAACAGTTCTAAGTGTTACCTATGCTGTATGCCTTTGTTAGTAGTGCTTTCAATTATTGGCTTGGTCATTGTGCCTCAACTCTCATGGTCCTCTAGTAGATACGTGATCTATAAAAGAGGGTCCTCCTGTATCTCAATTTGTATATCTTGTTGTCAGGGTGGCTCTGGTTTGGTTGGGGACGATGATGGTTTTGGTTCCGGAGGTGCAATTTCTGCTCGTGTTGAGTCGTCTTACATTTTTAATCTGGGAGACATGGACATGAAGCATGTAAAGGATTTTACATTTGTACATGGTGAGTTTGGATGTGGAATAATCTTTGGAAGAAGCAATATTTGTAAGACATTTAATAGACAAAGATTGTATTTGGATTTGTGGACTAAAAAGAAGATATTTGGATATGAATTCTTAGCGTGCATTATTTAATGAGACTTTAGATATTCTATGATAATGAAATTCATATGTGAATTTGAGTATTTGAAATTAACAGAATTTCATATAGGTTGCATAATTCACTTCATTATAATTATATTTATATTATTTAAAGTGTTATTTTCCTTAAAAATAATGTTGTGGTTATCAGTATCCATATTTTCTTGTCTTGCATTCCCGAGTAGGTTTGAAACAAAATAGGTTAGTTCTAATAACTTCTTGTGGCTTTTTATCTTTTAAAGTTTGACATAACGTATGTTGTATAGGTTACATTGAGCCTGTGCTGGTTATCCTTCACGAGCAGAAGCTTACTTGGGCTGGGCATGTCTCATGGAAGCACCATGCTTGTATGATTTCTGCACTTAGTATCAGCACAACTTTAAAGCAGCATCCGCACATATGGTCAGCTGTTGTAAGTTCCACCAAGATAAATTTATCTTCAAATTTTGAAATTACTCATTATAAATTTCTTTTCTTTATGTCCCCAACTATTTTTTTTATGTTCATACAGTCATTTTGATCCATAAAATCAATGTTTAAGCATTCAGCTGACTATGAAAATGTGAACAAATTTTTCTTGAAAGTCTTGCATGCTTTTGCTATACTGGAGAAATGTGTATGTTTGATCCAAGTCAGATGACCTGAAAGATTATCCTTCTTAATGTGGGAATATTTGGGAAGACATCCTTACATTCGATCTATTTTTACTTATATTTGTGTCAGAATCTCCCACATGATTCCTACAATCTGCTTGCTGTACCATCTCCAATTGGCGGTGTTCTCGTGATTAGTGCAAATTTTAATCTATTATAATAGCCAGGTAAGTTAATTTATTATAGTGGTTTTATTAGCTGAAGCACTTTTTTATGAGGTTTTTACCAACTTTATGCAGTCAGCCTCATGTGCATTGCCATTAAACAGTTATGCTGCTTCTGTTGATAACAGCTCTCTCTCTCTCTCTCTCTCTCTCTCTTCACACACACACACACACACAACCAACACACCCTTGTATTCCCTCCCTCCCTCTCGTCTCTTTGGCTAATCTCTCTCATCCACACTTTGTTTTTATATAATTTAATGTATTTTCTGTTTTATGCAGTCAAGAGATGCCAAGATCTAGTTTTTAACTGTGGAGCTTGATGCTGCCAATGCAACTTGGTTGCTGAATGATGTAGCCTTGCTGTCTACAAAAACTGGGGAGCTACTATTGCTCACCCTTGTTTATGATGGACGGTTAGTAATTACAATTTTTTTTTTTTTAATTTCGTTTGAGCAGAAGAAGCAGAGCTTGTTACTTTCTTCACCACCAGTGCATGACTTGCTAATTGTATCATCTTCTGTACCATAATATCTTGTACTTGGAGGGTATTATCATTTATATTTTGTATGATTCGGGAATTGTGTTGTGATTTTTTATGATGTTAGAAATACAAGAGGGCTCAAAATTTCATTTTATGAGATAAAGTCAGTTATTTCTGTATTCAGGTTTCAGAGGTGTACGCCAAAGATTTCAAGGGTGCCATATCTGCATTAGCCTCACTTCAAGGTCATCTGTTGATTGAGCAGGTCCTAAAATTACGTTAAACAAGTGGAATGGCACTGAACTGAATGGTGTGGCATTTTTTGATGTTCCACCATTGTATGTTTTGAGCTTGAATATTGTATGTATACTTCCTTAACTGTCTCTTTTAAATTGATTCGTTGTTTGATACCTGGATATCAGTACTTGAATATACGATTTAATTATGTGATGTGAAATCTGAGGGTGCACGTTGAAATGTTTCAAACTTCTCAAGTTGTGTCTTTAATTTGATTCTTGGTGTATAATGTTAGTCGTAATTTATTAAGATATGATTCTGAGCAATATGTGACCAGTGTCAATGGCCAAATTTGTCTTTGCAGGTCAAGAATTTTTCCTCCTTGGTGACATTCACAAAAGCATTTACTTTCTCAGTTGAAAGGAGCAGGGATCTCAGCTAAATCTGTTGGCCAAGGATTTTGGTAACCTAGATTCTTTTTTATCGATGGAAGTTTGCTGAGGCTTGTAGTTGCAGATGAACGAAAGAACATTCAGGTTAGTGCCTTGTAGCTGAGATATATTTTAGTCCTCTTTTAGGGCTCTCTTATTATTTTATTTTTTTGTGACTAACGATTCTTTTGGTTAGTTTTTCATCCCTGATTGTTGGAGGGATAGTTTACTTATTTTAAACACATTTTCTATGCCAAACAGATCTTTTTCTACGCACCAAAGAGGTCTGAGAGTTGGAAAGGCCAGAAGCTTCTCTCACGGGCTAAATTTCTTGTTGGTACCCATGTTACCAAGTTCTTGCGGTTGCAGATGCTCTCTAACTCAGGGACTAATCCAGGCTCCAACAAAACTAATTGCTATGCTTTGTTATTTGGTACCCTGGATGGCAGCATTGGTTGTGTTATGCCTCTTGATGAACTCACATTTCGTAGGTTGCAGTCACTACAGAAAAAGCTTGTTGATGCAGTTGCCCATGTTGCTGGTTTGAATCCAAGAGCTTTCCGCCAGTTTCGGTCAAATGGAAAAGCTTATCTGCCTGGCCCTGATACCATAGTTGACTGCAAGCTTCTAACCCAGTGAGTTCCATGTTCCTTCTATTTAGATTACCGTTCAAGATACAAAAGATTTTGCTGCCTTGCTTTTTGGAGAGAAATATTCCGTCATCTTTGTAAACCCAACAACAACAACAACAACAACAACAAAGCCTTTTCCCACTAAGTGGGGTCGGCTATATGAATCCTAGAACGCCATTGCGCTCGGTTTTGTGTCATGTCCTCCGTTAGATCCAAGTACTCTAAGTCTTTTCTTAGGGTCTCTTCCAAAGTTTTCCTAGGTCTTCCTCTATCCCTTCGGCCCCGAACCTCTGTTCCGTAGTCACCTCTTCGAACCGAAGCGTCAGTAGGCCTTCTTTGCACATGTCCAAACCACCGTAACCGATTTTCTCTCATCTTTCCTTCAACTTCGGCTACTCCTACTTTACCTCGGATATCCTCATTCACAATCTTATCATTTCTCGTGTGCCCACACATCCCACGAAGCATCCTTATCTCCGCTACACCCATTTTGTGTACGTGTTGATGCTTCACCGCCCAACATTCTGTGCCATACAACATCGCTGGCCTTATTGCCGTCCTATAAAATTTTCCCTTGAGCTTCAGTGACCTACGACGGTCACACAACACGCCGGATGCACTCTTACACTTCATCCATCCAGCTTGTATTCTATGGTTGAGATCTCCATCTAATTCTCCGTTCTCTTGCAAGATAGATCCTAGGTAGCGAAAACGATCGCTTTTTGTGATCTTCGCTAGATTACTCCGGTCATTAGTGTGGATAAGTATATAAATGGATAGAGATAGGAAAGCAAACACCAGATGTACGTGGTTCACCCATATTGGCTACGTCCACGAAATAGAGGAGTTCTCATTAATTGTGAAGGGTTTACACAAGTACATAGGTTCAAGCTCTCTTTTAGTGAGTATAAGTGAATGATTTAGTACAAATGACATTAGGAAATATTGTGGGAGAATGATCTCGTAATCACGAAACTTCTAAGTTCCGGAGTGTGGTATCGTCTTGACTTGCCTTATCTGTCTCGTAGGTAGATGTGGCATCTTCTCTGGAAGTACTCTTCCTCCATCCAGGGGTGGTATCTTTAACTGGTGGAGATGCACAAGGTAATGTATCAATTTCACTTGAAGCTTACTTGTAGTTTCAGGCTTGGTCAAGCGCGATACAAACCATGTAATAGGAGTCCTCCAAGTTGCCGAACTAGGGGATCTGCTAAAAGAGGTGACAGACAAGGTAAGCAATCAGAGCTCCAAGCAATCAGTCCCAGATCAGAACTTTGATTTCGAGTTCCGGCTGATTGTTCACATTCTCCCTATCTTGCAGGCAGCATGAAGGATAAAGAGAAGAAAAATGAGAAGAGATGATATGGGATACTTTTGCTTTTGAAGAAGTAACTTTCCACAGGCTTATTCTTGAACTGGGCTGGAGGGTTTTCTGGTTTCCTCCAGAGTATAAGGCCGACTGAAGAATTTGAGGGTCAAAACAAGTCCATCAAATCTATAGTACGTTCGACCCTGCTGATATGGGATACTTTTGCTTTTGACAGAGTAGTGGATGTATCGGCACGTGTACTGTTACGCTTGTCTCCACATGCTTCCTTGTATCCTTCTCACTTGCCCTATCTGTTCCTCAGGCAGATGCGGTATCTTCCCTGGAAGCAGAAGATGTTGAAGATGAGTACTCGAGAGCAATGCCAGGTAAGTAATCAAGTAAGGGGTTTCAGGCAGTCAGTTCCTGACTGGAAGCTTGATTCCAAGTGTTGACTGATTGCTCTCTTTCTTCTTGTCTTGCAGGTAAGAACAAGGCCAAAGGAAAAGACAGGGAAAAAACATGATATGGGATACTCTTGCTTTTAACCCTGATGATATGAGATATTCTTGCTCTAGTATAGCTTGTTACAGAGGTATTATCGGGGGGAAAGAAAGCTGAATATTTCGAAAGGCTTCTTTGGGAGTGCCCTCTCAAATATGAGGAAGGGTTGAGCATTTTTGCAGGTCTGCCTGTCTGTTGGGGATGGAGGTCAACATATATAGGAGTCTCCCTCACAACAAGTAGTAATGCTATTCCTTTACCCTGCTTGGTCATAACACGGTAGTGGGAGCTGCCAGCTTCACATGTTTTAACTCTGTCAGAGCACTTTGAAAAAGTGGTCTGTGGTATCTGGAAAGCTGATGTTGCGTGTAAAGATTACAGACAAGCTTTATCCAAGGAGATCCGGCTCTTGAAGTTGGGAAAGTGGTGCCTCTTCGGTTTTCGAACAAGCAATCCTGTCGGAGATCTGGCTCTCGAGATTCGGAGAACGATGCCTTTTCGATTTTTGAGAAAGCAATCCTGCTAGGGGTCTGACTCTCGAGATTCGGAGAGCGGTGTCTCTTCGATTTTTGAGAAAGTAATCATGTTGGGAGTCTGGCTCTCGAGATTCGGAGGGCGGTGCCTCTTCGATTTTGGAGCAAGCAATCTTGTTGGGAGTGTTTTCTCGAATGTGAGAAAAGGTTGGGCATGTTTGCTAGTCTATCTTGCCACGAAACACAGAGGTTGACACACAGGGACTTTCCAATTATCCAGCAGTGGTACTGTTCCTTTATCCTTGTGGGTAATAATATGGTAGCTAGACCTTCAAAATTTATGTGTCTAAACTTTGTTAGTGCTGTTTCTTTGCTATTCTTTTACCCTTCTTGGTCAGAGCGGTGTAGTGGGAGCTGCTTCACGTGTCTCAACTTTGTCAGAGAACTTTGGCAAAGTTATCTGTGGTACCCATGAGCTAATGTTGCGTGTGGGAAATGGGTGATTGAACAGTAAGATTCATGTGCTTTCTACTTCACCAGAAATCTTCGACATAATGCTCATAATTTCCGCAAAGCTGACAGGTGCTGACAAGGCTGGAAAAGTAGGTGCCTCTTCGATTTCTGAGATCGGCCCTCGTGGTCTCTAAGCAGCCCAGCTTTTGAGAAAGCAAGCGCCTCTTTGATTTCTGAGATCGGCTTTCGTGGTCTTTGAGCAGCCCAACTTTTGAGAAAGCAAACGTCTCGTGGTCTCTGAGCAGCCCAGCTTTTGAGAAAGCAAACGCCTCTTCGATTTCTGAAGCTCCGTCGAGTACAGATTTTTATAGAGGCTGGCATTAAATTCCAAAGCACACTTGAATCTCCACCAGTAGAAGCTTCATTCTTGTACTTCTAAGATCTTGATTTGTCCGACCTCTTCTCTCTTCAACACCTTTGAAAATGTCTGGCCACTCCGACCGTTGTTTTGACTTGAACCTTGTTGAAGAGCCAGCCACACCTTCTCCAGACAACATATGGCGCCCATCCTTCGTCTCCCCTACTGGTCCTCTTACCGTTGGGGATTCCGTGATGAAGAATGATATGACCGCTGCGGTAGTGGCCATGAACCTTCTCACTCCCAAAGATAACAGACTACTTTCCAAACGGTCTGATGAGTTGGCTGTTAAGGATTCTCTGGCTCTCAGTGTTCAGTGTGCAGGTTCTGTGTCTAACATGGCCCAACGCCTATTTGCTCGAACCCGCCAAGTTGAATCATTGGCGGTTGAAGTGATGAGTCTCAAACAGGAGATTAGAGGGCTCCAGCATGAGAATAAACAGTTGCATCGGCTCGCACATGACTATGCTACAAACATGAAGAGGAAGCTTAACCAGAAGAAGGAATCTGATGGTCAGGTTTTACTTGATCATCAGAGATTTGTGGGTTTGTTCCAAAGGCATTTATTGCCTTCGTCTTCTGGGGCTGTACTGCGTAATGAAGCTCCAAATGATCAACCTCTGCTGCCTCCTCCTTCTAGGGTTCTGTCCAGTACTGAGGCTCCAAATGATCCCCCTCCAGTGCCTGCTGTTTCTGGGGCTCTACCGACTGCTGAGACTTCTCCTAAGCAACCTTTGTGAAGGCTCCCTCTTGTTTGTTTATTTTGACTCATGTATATGTACATATTTGTGACTTATCGGGGATATCAATAAATAGCTTTCCTTCATTTCAACGTATTGTGTTAAATACGCCAAAACCTTCTTCGCTAAGTTCTCTGAATTTTCTTTTGTTGAAGCTTGTATGTTGAAGCTTTGTGAGTGGAGCATGTAGGTTGAGGTAGTATTCCCTTAATTTCCCGAGTGAGGAAAACTTCTCAGTTGGAGACTTGGAAAATCCAAGTCACTGAGTGGGATCGGCTATATGAATCTTTGAACGCCATTGTGCTCGGTCCTGTGTCATGTCCTCCGTTATATCCAAGTACTCTAAGTCTTTTCTTAGAGTCTCTTCCAAAGTTTTCCTAGGTCTTCCTCTACCCCTTCGGCCCTGAACCTCTGTCCCATAGTCGCATCTTCTAATCGGAGCGTCAGTAGGCCTTCTTTGCACATGTCCAAACCACCGTAACCGATTTTCTCTCATCTTTCCTTCAATTTCGGCTACTCCTACTTTACCCCGGATATTCTCATTCCTAATCTTATCCTTTCTTGTGTGCCCACACATCCAACGAAGCATCCTCATCTCCGCTACACCCATTTTGTGTACGTGTTGATGCTTCACCGCCCAACATTCTGTGCCATACAGCATCGCCGGCCTTATTGCCGTCCTATAAAATTTTCCCTTGAGCTTCAGTGGCATACGGCGGTCACACAACACGCCGGATGCACTCTTCCACTTCATCCATCCAGCTTGTATTCTATGGTTGAGATCTCCATTTAATTCTCCGTTCTTTTGCAAGATAGATCCTAGGTAACGAAAACGATCGCTCTTTGGTATTTCTTGATCTCCGATCCTCACCCCTAACTCGTTTTGGCCTCCATTTGCACTGAACTTGCACTCCATATATTCTGTCTTTGATCGGCTTAGGCGAAGACCTTTAGATTCCAACACTTCTCTCCAAAGGTTAAGCTTTGCATTTACCCCCTTCCTGAGTTTCATCTATCAACACTATAATCGTCTGCGAAAAGCATACACCAAGGAATATCATCTTGAATATGTCCTGTTAACTCATCCATTACCAACGCAAAAAGGTAAAGACTTAAGGATGAGCCTTGATGTAATCCTACAGTTATGGGAAAGCTTTCGGTTTGTCCTTCATGAGTTCTTACGGCAGTCTTTGCTCCTTCATACATATCCTTTATAGCTTGGATATATGCTACTCGTACTCTTTTCTTCTCTAAAATCCTCCAAAGAATGTCTCTTGGGACCCTATCATACGCTTTTTCCAAATCTATAAAGACCATGTGTAAATCCTTTTTCCCATCTCTATATCTTTCCATCAATCTTCGTAAGAGATAGATTGCCTCCATGGTTGAGCGCCCTGGCATGAACCCGAATTGGTTGTCCGAAACCCGTGTCTCTTGCCTCAATCTATGCTCAATGACTCTCTCCCAGAGCTTCATTGTATGACTCATTAGCTTAATACCCCTATAGTTCATGCAATTTTGTACGTCGCCCTTATTCTTGTAGATAGGCACCAAAGTGCTCGTTCGCCACTCATTTGGCATCTTCTTCGTTTTCAAAATCCTATTGAAAAGGTCAGTGAGTGAGCCATGTTATACCTGTCTCTCTTCCAAAACTTTCCACACTTCGATTGGTATATATCGTCTGGGCCTACTGCTTTTCTATGCTTCATTTTCTTCAAAGCTACAACCACTTCTTCCTTCCGGATTCGACGATAAAAAGAGTAGTAGTTTCTACACTCTTCTGAGTTACACAACTCCCCTAAAGAAGCACTCCTTTCATGTCCTTCATTGAAAAGATTATGAAAATAACCTCTCCATCTATCTTTAACCGCGTTCTCTGTAGCAAGAACCTTTCTATCCTCATCCTTGATGCACCTCACTTGGTTTAGGTCCCTTGTCTTCTTTTCCCTTTCTCTAGCTAGTTTATAGATATCCAACTCTCCTTCTTTGGTATCTAGTCGCTTATACATATCGTCATAAGCCGCTAACTTAGCTTCTCTCACAACTTTCTTCGCCTCTTGCTTCGCTTTTCTATACCTTTCACCATTTTCATCGGTCATATCCTTGTATAAGGCTTTACAACATTCCTTCTTAGCCTTCACCTTTGTTTGTACCTCCTCATTCCACCACCAAGTTCCTTTTGGTGTGGGGCAAAGCCCTTAGACTCTCCTAATACCTCTTTTGCTACTTTTCGGATACAACTAGCCATGGAATCCCACATTTGGCTAGCTTCCCCCTCTCTATCCCACACACACTGGGTGATTACTTTCTCTTTGAAAATAACTTGTTTTTCTTCTTTTAGATTCCACCATCTAGTCCTTAGGCACTTCCAAGTCTTGTTCTTTTTTCTCACTCTTTTGATATGTACATCCATCACCAACAAGCGATGTTGATTAGCCACGCTCTCTCCTGGTATAACTTTGCAATCCTTACAAGTTATACGATCCTCTTTCCTCATTAGAAGAAAATCTATTTGTGTTTTTGACGACCCACTCTTGTAGGTGATCACATGTTCTTCTCTCTTCTTAAAGAAGGTGTTGGCTAAGAATAGATCATATGCCATTGCAAAATCCAAGATAGCTTCCTCATCCTCGTTTCTCTCCCCAAAACCATGGCCACCATGAAAACCTCCATAGTTGCCTGTCTCCCTGCCCACGTGTCCATTTAAATCTCCTCCTATAAATAACTTCTCCGTCTGAGCAATTCCTTGCACCAAGTCTCCAAGGTCTTCCCAAAATTTCTCCTTCGAACTCATATCCAACCCTACTTGAGGTGCGTACGCACTAATCACATTGATAAGTTCTTGTCCTATTACAATCTTGATTGCCATGATTCTATCTCATACCCTCTTGACATCTACAACATCTTGTGTCAAGGTCTTGTCCACGATGATGCCAACACCGTTTCTCATTCTATTTGTGCCCGAGTACCAAAGTTTAAACCCTGAGTTTTCTAGATCCTTTGCCTTAAGACCAACCCACTTAGTTTCTTGTAGGCACATAATATTTATCCTTCTCCTCACCATAACTTCCACTACTTCCATAGATTTTCCCGTTAAGGTTCCTATATTCCACGTTCCTAAACGCATTCTACTCTCCTGAACTCTACCCTTCTGTCCTAGCTTCTTCTCCCTCCCCCGTCCAATGGAATCAAAGTACTTCTTTTGTGTGTCCCGTGTAAAGTTGATAGGTGCATATGCTCCCAAACAACTTTGAGTGGAGTCGTTCGAAAAGAAGTTTCTATGGCCCCCTTGCTCATTTAACACTGCATCCGGGTGCCTATGGAGATACAGCGACCCTTGCTCACTTATCACTGTGCTCGGGCCACACAGCGCGCCACTTACGGGTGACGCCCTAGCTTTAGCGCGATTTCGTTCTGAATTCATTTTCATAAGGATTCGACGTAACTGTAGAGTGCCGGCTGTCGACTACCTGACGCCCTCCCCCTCCTCCTTTACCCGGGCTTGGGACCGGCAATGTAAGATAAACTTACATAGGCGGAGTTCATCTTTGTAAACCCAATAATGCTAAATACTTTCCTGATGAAATGATGCACGCTTCTAATTCTAGATCAACACCATCAACAGTATTTGATGGCATGATAAAAACTGGTACTTCAATTTCCATCCTCCAACTTATGAGATGCTTCTATTGGAGGAACAGCTTGAAATTGCAAACCAGATAGGGACGACTCGTTCACAAATTTTTACAAACTTAAATGACCTCGCTATAGGAACGAGCTTCTTGTAAGTGCTGCGTTTACCTTGTTCGTGATTGTTGGGTTCCGCTGAATTGAGAAGAAAGAGGAGGGGTAAGAAGTGGGAAATACTGTTGCTCCACTGCGGTAGTTTTAGGTGACAAGAGTTGAGAGTTTCCGGCTAACCAGTATTGCTAGGCTCAGTGAATCGTTCGGTTTTGTTGTGACGAGTATAACAGCCTAGCAACCTAGTCATTTGTTTCCGCTGATGGGTTGTAAGTTATCATAGTCGTTAACCTTTGTCGGAGACCGCTACATTTGTTCACATGTAATAACCGTATTGATGAAATTACCATGAGTTTTAACCACCTCAATCTCTTTCGAACTCGATTTTCTTCTTTTCAAGGACATTTCTTTATGCGCTTCTGAGGCGTAATGCCATTTTTTTAAATATTACAGCAATGCCTTGTAACTCAAGACTCCTCTTTCGCTTTTGTGAAAGGAAGTTGAAATTCTGGATTTGAATGGAAATCAAATTATTGCACATATCAAACTATATTGTTTTCTGAATATATGTTGAAATTCCAAATTCTTTTGGAACGGAACTGGAAGGGCGGGCAGAAGTTCGTTGGTGTTGCAGGAAAGGAATGGCCTTTCTAACGTATATTCCGTCGTACCAACATGGCCGCACTGATTTGTTTTCGATTGGAGCATCAAGCAACTTCAGTGATGGTGAGCTGGTCAAGTAAGGAGAATCGACAAGGTGGAGAAGATTTAAAAAGAATCTGCAGCAGTGAGAGTCAAATGACTGATCGTGATCGTCTGCAGAAGTTGTTTGAGTCTTCAAATATGTAAGCCTGTTCGCTGAGGTGAACAAGAAGGAGGCCCTGTATGCCCTACTATACGGCTGAATCACCATCTTTCTGCCCGAGCAACCTGGTCCCTATTCGCTTGCTTGTTCGTTGGATGCGTTGTTTTGTGTAACACGTATTGAGGAAGTCAACTTCTGATATTAATTTAAGACAGATTTGGGTATTGGTTTTTTTATGTAATTTTCAATTCCAAAAAATTGTGGATTATAATCTCTTGATTTCGATTCGATCTTTCCAAAAATCATATTTACTGATTACATTGTTTTGTTCGGTAAATAGAAGATTATGAGGAGTAAGGTAAAATGTTTGTAAAACACAAAGTAAAAAGTAAATCACTCAATCGTTGTATGAACTTTGAACGTCCTCTCCTTCCCCACCAACGAGAATAACAATCAAATATGAGGTGAATATATCTAATAGAATTTTAGAAAACAACTGCACGAGGTAAACAATGGCAGACGGAGACAGCAGGAGTGGTTTTCCACTGTTCCATAAACCTCGTGGGCCTATCATGACGATGCGCGTGTGCCCTAATTTACTAATTACTCAAGTGACTCTCTCTCCTCCTCCTCCTCTTCTCCCTCTTCATGTAGTGGACCTAATTTTTATTCTATTCGAAACATTGTGACGTGATGTTATAATTTAACTCAAATTATATAATGTATGCCAATCACGGTTGGCTGAGTTGGTAAGGATTGTTTTTTTTTTTCTAGACCAAGACCTAGGTTCAAGTTCCGTTGCCAACAATTCTTCTTAGTGGATGATACGTAAAAACTAAAAAAGGGGGTAAACCCCTATCTAAAAACTAAAAAAGGAGGTAAGACCCCCTCTGTAAGTCCTTAAAGAGACTTGTGGTATGTCCTAACCCTAAGATGGAATAGCCTCCCCTCTCCCTTAACTTTCAGCAAATAAACAAATGATATTATGTATATTTTTTTTATATAGAAAAAATACTACATTAAAGAGAAAAGTCCCTAGGGCAACCGATTTGGGTACAATAAAAAAGGAAGGCCTGACGGGTTTCCTACGGAAGAGTTCTATCCTAAACATGAAAATTAGAGACTGAATAACCCACACTAGTTATAGCATCTGCCAGAAAATTGACTTCCCGAAAGACATGCTTCCTGCAAATCTCCTTAAATGACATGGCAAGCTAGCAAATATCCTCCAGGATGACCTTCAATCTCCAAGGGGGGCAATAGGCTCTACAGATAGACTCAATCACCAGCTTTGAATCACCCTCCACCATAATGTGAGCCAAACCTTTGGCTTTAGCCATCCAAAGGCCATCCCTCAACGCCAGGCATTCTGCAGTCGAAATAGTGTTTTGACCAATAAATCTAGCTCCTGCAACAATAGGCTCTCCCTTCTCATTTCTAATCACAAACCCAACAGCCGCACCTTGATTCACCACAGAGCCATCAAAGTTAAGTTTAACAAAACCAACATTCGAAGGGGACCATCGAATAGAAAATGGTGGAGAGGACCTGCTACCATTGTAAACCACAGGAATTATACCATTGGCATCTATGAATTCCCTCCCTATATTGGGGTCCGACTTAACGATCCAGGTAGGGTTTGGAATTTTATTTTGGAAAACCACAAGATTCCTCTCCTTCCAAATCTGCCGGCAAACTAGTAAAACTTTACTGAGATCACACAAACCTACATCATTCTTAACAGTTAATTCATTGAGCCAATCATTAAAAGGAAGAAATTGATTTACTCTTATGTTGTTAGAGATAACTTGACAATTCCAAACTAGCCTCACAAAATTACAATTTATAAATAAATGAGATATGTTTTCATCCTCTAAATTACACATAGGACAGGTGGATGGGATATTATTGACATATGTTGATAATCTGTCTCTTGTATGAAGCCTTCCAATTACGAGAAGCTAACTAAAATTTTTAACTTTACGAGGGAGTTGAAGCTTCCACATTTTCTTAAGAAGCTCTCTTACATTCTCATTGTTATTATCACTATTTTGTATCCAAGTTGCCGACTTAACTAAGAACTTACCATTTGCATTAGGCTCCCATCAACACATATTGCATTGGGGAGTTATGGGGAAGGGAATACTACATATTTTATTCACAATGTCCTCATCGACTAAAGATGAAAGTTCATCTCTGTCCCATTGTCCATTATTAATGAATTGACTCTCCTTCATGTTTAGATCGATGTCATTAACATGATTGGGAGAAATAAAGTTGGATAGAGGGAAAGGAAAAACCCAGTTATGGGTCTAGAAGAGGATACTCTCTCCATTTCCCACAACCCAGCTCAGCCCCATTTTGATAATATCTCTAGCCTTAAGGATACTTTTCCAGGCACAAGAGTGGTGATGTCTGACTTTAGTGTTAAGCTCTCTCTTCAAGTATTTATTCTTAACAATCTATACCCACCAATTTTGATTATCCGTTAGGACTTTCCAGCCAAGTTTTGCTAAACGAGCATTATTAAAGTGATCACTTTTCATAAATTTCAATCCACCATTTTCCTTAGAGCTGCAAACTCTATCCCAAGCCACATGGACAAGTTTGCAATCTTTTCCCCAAAAAACTTTCTACTTTCACTATATATAGTTTTTGTGATTTTCTTCGTTCATAGAGAGAAGAAATACTCTAGAAACCACCCAAACGCAACAATAATTGAAGCAATTGGGCAGAACCCTAACCCTAGAAATTTTCCCTTTTCCCCCTGTCGACTCTCATTTTAGTGAAGCCTTTATTTATATTAATATACCTTAGAAGTGAGCCTTATAAAATAATTTATCATTTGTATTATAACATGTGTTCTTAGATATACACAAAACTTTCTCAATGAAGTCCTGCACATAGGAAAAAAGATGATGATAACTCACGTGCAAATAATTCGATCCATCTCTTTGGGCAAGGGGAATGAATGACTGGAAACATAGAAGAGAAATATAAAGAGCATCTTCTAATTAGGGTTTCGGTTTCGTAAAAGAAAAGTGCATGCATGTGGGAAGGTGGTGTTGTGTTATGGGACCAATGGATTCAAAGAATGTCGAGCTAAAGCACAACATTAAGTCCTTCATTTCAAATGTGATGAATGGGAGAGAGGCCATGGAGTGTGAGGAGTTGTTCCCTCTCATGTCCCAATCCATCACTACTACTTCCCTTATCTCTTTCCATTTTTTATAGGTATATATTTCTTTGCAATATTTTGTCAACTTTTTTTGGGCATAGCGTTTTTAATATTTTTTTTTTGGCGCAATGGAAATGTTGCTCCTTTATAATCAAAAGGTCACGGGTTCAAGTCATAGAAATAGTCTCTTTGCAAAACAAGAGGAAGATTGCGTACGGTAAACGTCTTCCCCCACCGAACTCTCGCAAAACGGAGAACCTTACTAACTTGGAGTAGCCCTTTTAAATTTTTAATTTTCCAAAAAAGGCATTGCACTACTAGAAAATCTAGAACTAGAAGTGGGATTTTAGTAGTGCATACTGATGTTATGAGAGAGAGAGACATACTGATGTTATGAGAGAGAGAGAGAGAGGAACACAAGTGTTTTGACAATGGCCAAAGTTGAGGTAGTGTTTGAATTTCTGTTTTCTAATGGGTCCAATTCCACGTCCAAATCAAAACTTTGGCAATGGCCACCCTGATGATTCACTGCTTCTTGACAAAACCAAAATTAACTTTTAATTTGTTTTCCTTTTTATCTTTACCTTTTTAATTATTTTTTACATGGTCTCTTTTACTTCATTACTGTCAAAACGACAGCCCCCCGAGCATTAGATGACAGTAAAACAGCAGCATAAAACAATGTTCTTACAATCTCATTTTTATTAGCATGTCGCCTTTCCTTCCCTTAATTTAGGAAAACTCGTTTCATGTTACTCTCTCTCTCTCTCTCTCGTTTTAATTAGAATTAAGTATTTCCTTCCCTTGATTTAGGAAAACTAGTTTCATGTTAGTCTCTCTCTCTCTCTCTCAACATGAGTGTGTATTTCTTTTCTTTCATGACCGATCATGTTAAGAAAGAAATAAAGAGATAAGAATACTGATTTCGGTATAGGTAAGTTACTCTTGTCATTTAGGCAGGATAAATGATACCATAATTAATATCTTTTCTTTTGAGGCTTAAAAAATCTTACACTCAATTCTCAAGTTTGTTAGTACATCATACGTGGTCATTTTGATTTTCCCCTCCTCCTGATTAATTTAAGTCAAACTTGTGGTTTTAGTGGTGCAACCTCTCGAACTTTGTGCTAGCAGCCAAAAATTAGTGGAGGAAAGGAAACCCTAAATCTATACGAAAATACTCAATTAGGTAAAATGGTTTTCATGTACCATTATTCAGATTTTCAGATGAGAGAAAGAGACTTGCACCAATAATCCGAGTCCAATATATTCATTTCAAACAGATACACACAAACATATATACAAGCGTGTTATATAGTCATTTCGAAATCATATCAGATTTTGAGTCTTTGACTCAGAAGTGTGGCTTAAATTAAAAGCTTGCAGAATGTCCTTGGACTGTAAGGAGTTCGCATTATCCATCCATATGCCCTATAATTAAAAGCCTACGTCAGTCATCAAATACATTCAAAAAATTATTTCCAATCTTCATCGATCGATCCCTTTGACTTGATCGAGAAAGTGGGAGAGACTATATATACATATATACATATGTATATATCATCACCCACTTAGTTATAGGGGTGTGATATCTACACACCTAATTTTATTTCTCACACACTTTTTTCATTTTCGACCGTCGGATCAGATGAATTGAAGAAAATCAACGGATAAAAATTAACAAGAGGTGTGTGAGAAGTAATTTGGGATGTGGATAGCACATCCCTAGTTATAACTTATATAGGATGATGGCATCAGCACCATTATTATAAAGATATACGTATATTTATGTATATATGGTTTAAAATGCAGCCACTTAGCATGGTCTGACTCTGACCTGACCATCCCTCCGAGTCGACGTTGATAATGATTTCCTTGTTGAATGATGTTAAATGAGGGGGTTTGCGTGAAAGCAATGACAGGCCAGCATGCTCCAGTTCCAGCCACTTTGGCCATGGAAATCAGATTAAGACAGTCCGCATGGTGCAACACACACTTGAAAATTACCAATTTTTGTAGTCTCTTTTTCGATCATTTGCTAATTAAATATGATTTTAATTTGTTTTGCCTTAGCTCTCATAGTGTACTTGGTTACCATCATGAAGCTAATTGGACCCTCTTCTTGTTTCATCATCTCAATCCTTGACCTAGTACTCTCATAATTAGATGGGTCATATCCATATATATCAACGTAAAAAACTTGCAGTTTAGTTGGTCAAGAGTCTTACCATCCAGGTCTTGTTCCTTCCTTTGTATTATCAAATGCATAAATAAATAAATAAGATTTCTAAAATGATCAAAATACAAATCTTTGCTAAAATGATTCAGAATCTTGTATATATGTTGTCACTATTTGCTTTGAATTATTTCAGTAATTATAATTTGTAAACTCTTCATTTCAACCAATTTCTCTAAAAAAAAGCTTATCCATATCCAAGTTGGCCATATGAATTACACATATGTATACACTCTTTTCACCATGATAGTACTGTGATTTCGGAAAGTTCAATTATATATAACACCATTTGAATTATAAAATCGAAACTTTAGTCAACGCTCAAGTAATGGAATTGACTATATCATGTTGTCTCCCATGCAGATGCAATGCTGCCTGTTTCCGATTATAAATTTCAAATTAAAATTTACATATATGAAGTTATTTTGAATGTTAAGAAGTAAATTGAAATAAGTGGTGGATTGCCTTAGTGGATAGGGTTTTTCTAATTTTTTTTTTCAACTCCAATTTGTTGAAATTTTTTAGATTGACAGGTCCAAGGGTTCCATTCTAACAACACCGATATTGTTCCTAACTTTACCACCTACTCAATCCGTCAGGTGTGGGGTTTTACTACAAAAGGCTTCGGTATTAGTTAGAGTAGGGTGATCATATTTAAAGCCACCCTTGTTGACTACCCTCACCGACGTGGGACTAGCAACATGCCCCCTCACGTGTAAACCCATTTAGTGGTCCACACGTGAAGATCCACACATCGGTAATTAAAACAACCCAATTTAATGGTTCACACATGGAGATCCACACATCGGCAATTGAAACTCAGAGGTCACCACCATGGAGTCTACACTTGTTTTCAGTCTTTTCAGGAAGGATATTGTCTCAATCCGTCAGGTTTTAGTGTTTTACCACAAAAGACTCGGTAATGTTAGAGTATGGTAATCATATTTAAAGCCACCCTTGTTGACTTCCCCCCCCGGATGTGGGACTGCCAACACATTTCAGATCCTAAACTGTTTTTGTATAAATTAAAATAGTTATATCGCTTATAATAAAAAAATTATACTGAACATTAATTTATATCAAATTTAGCGATCCTGCTTCATTATTTGACTAGTTTTTATATAGAAGTCAAATGCAGCATTTTATAACAGATACAAAGTGCATGTTACCCATTTTTTTTCAGCTTAGTCGGCAGAGAATCCAAGATCTTCTTTGATTCAATAACATTCGGTACATTGCATTCGTAACAAAAAGCCATATTCGCATGTAAAAAACAAAACCCCTTCTTCTTAATTTATTCTTTATATACAATATTATCTGATCAAATCACAATCTTCGAAATTGATGTAAACAATTTAATTCTAAATTAATAAAATTTCTTGTCTTTGAAAAAAAAAATGGTAATCTTGGATTTGCACTGATACTCGCAACTTCGATAATATTTGACTGTTTGACTAATGGTAATCATATTAGTGTGCGTAATTATAAATTTATAAGAACACTATAACAAATCTGGAATCACGTACGATCAGGGGTTAGAGCTGTTTAATCTGCTTGTGCGACGGATCTAGTTTTCACCAATTGTCCATTCAGTTTCTGCCAAGTGTCATGGTCGTGCAGATGCAGACCAAGAATATACTGGGAGCTTGGTTGGCTTCCTTTTCCAACAATTCTTGAAAAGCTAGCTTTTTTTTCAGCAAAACAAACAAGTGGTACGTAGTACATTGCTATCAGTTGATCTTTTATATCACTGCAAATCCCGTTGCCTCTAGATATTAGCAATGCAACAGACAAAAGACAAAAAAGATGTTAAAAATGGTGCATACTCAAACCCTATTAATATATATATATATATATGTGTACATACATACATATGTGCACACTATGATAATGGATAATACTTTTCTCATTTCGGTAAGGAGGAAACCCTAATAGTTATAGTTGAT